CTAACGCAAATTTCGCCGCAAACGCTGGCTCGTCGCCTGCAAACTTGTTGTGCATATACCACGTGCTACTCCCCCATCGCAAGACTGTGTTCCGTTTCCGCGTCACCCAGTGGTCGTTGTCAACGGTTGTGCCGGCGTGTGTCGTGGCGTGGAAGAGACAATGGTTGCCATGAGCTAGTGAGATGTCTATAACACAAGGCTTCGCAAAGGCCAGGAGTTTGGTACGAAGAGCGCAGCCGAGGGTCCAGGCGGTCTGGGGGGTGAAGGTTGGGAAGGTGAGAGAGTTGTCGATGTGCTCGATGGCTTCCAGCTCGCGGGGAGGCATTGGGATGGTGGGTTCTGCGGCGGCCATTGTTGCCATGAAGAGAGAGTAGGTGACCGCTACTCAGTCACACAGGGCAAAGTGCGATGTATTCTGGGCAGGCAGATTACTGTACACCTCTTGGAGTAGAGGTGGGTACATGTACATACGGTAGGTACATGTAAGTAGTGGTCGAGGGGTGTGGGGATGGAAACAGACCACGTGATAGCGATGGGAAGCACGATAATTAGCGAATATATGGCGAACACTCCGCAGCACGGCCAGGCTGATGCTGTCATGATTGAGGTGATAGTAGCGAAGGAGGTGATAGCGATGAAGAAGGTAAGTGGGTAGAACACAACATGATCGTGAATGCATTTAGCATTATCTCAAGCTACACCATCTGGCAGCGAGACCCTGCGTGAGGCATCACCACTCCCGCTCAGTAAACGTTATGATGTATCTAGTAGAAGAAGCCGATGATCTTGCCCGCCACGTGCTTTCTCCTCGCCTCCTCATGGTCCATGATGCCGGCGGAGGTGGTGAGGACGATGTAGCCGAATTGACGCGAGGGCAAGAGCTTGACGACCCACTTCTCCATATCGCGGAGCTGCACGTTGTAGCGCGGGCTGATGACGCCAGTCTTGTTGAGGCTTGGGAAGTATCAGTACGCGGTGCCACTGCGGTATGCATGAAGTGTGCTTACCGGCCGTTCAACTGGATGACGATCTTGCCATTGCGGTGGTCGTCAACCTCCTCGAACTCGCCAATGTAGCCTATATGTAATGTGTCAGTGTGTGTTGCGAATGAATAAACGTGCACTCTTCAGTCATGCTGCATCCGAAGACGTGTAAGATCCTTCGCGAATATCTCAATCTCCCGAGCACTTAAAGGGCGTTGGTCGTGGAGGAGATGTGAGACCATTGCCTAGTTATCAGCCCGGTATGCGCCGCCGTCCGTCCTTCGGACCTCGTCTTCGGCCAATCTCTGCTCCACATCTTCGTCTTCGGGCGCGCTTGGCTGGTGCAGGTACAGGAACTGAGACCTACCGTGCCTCTGCATGACTTGCAAGAACTTGACGATGACCTTCGAGCTCGGGCGGATCAGGACCTGGCGCTTGCCGCGCTTCTCGGCGTTGTTCATGGCATTGAGCGCGTCGTTGAGCACCGATGTCTTGACCATGTTGGCGGTTGGCGGGTTGAGATTCTCTGGGCGCTTGGACTGCGGCGAGAGGTATCTGAGGCGACAATCATAATCAGTCTCCAGGAGCCATCTAGAGCGTAAAGAGTGCCCTTCGGTGCCACAAGAGCATGGAAGGGTTCTTCAGCTCCGTCGGATGCAGGCGCAGCAGTATCAACGCCGTTGCCGGACGACGAGTGCTGGCCTCGGCTACCCGAAGGGCATCTCCAGTGTGTATCGCAACATACCTTGATTTGTGTAGTTGGTAAGTGGTTGATGGTACGAGTGAAGGTGTTGTCGCAATGCCCGGTGTCGAAGTTCTCTGTGGTAAGTAAATTCGTGCGGCGCACCGGCCCTCCGTGCCAAGCTTTTCCGGGCGGGATCCGCCCGCCAGGGTTCACTTGCAGATTTGTGCCCCGCCAACGCTCTTGAATTTCTGTTGCAACATTTTTGGTCTCATCCAGACCCGACACCTTTCTCACACTCGCCCGTACTACCGCCATCATGATTATCTTCAAGGTACGTCGCTAATACCAGCAGCGCTGCAGCCAGATGCGCAGCTTACCGCCTGCTCTCGACCGATGGTGGAAGCCACACTGACATGGCCGGCGCAGGACATCATCACCGGCGACGAGCTGATCTCGGACTCCTACGAGATGAAGCTCAAGGATGGCGTCATGTACGAGGCAGACTGCAAGAAGATCTCCGTTGGCGGCGACAACATCGACATTGGGGGCAACCCGTCCGCCGAAGAGGCCGAGGAGACCACGGAAGACGCCTCGCAAACCGTCCTCGACATCGCACACTCTTTCCGGTTGAACGAGACGCAATTCGACAAGAAATCATATCTGGGCCATCTGAAACAGTACATGAAGAAGGTGAAGGAGACCATGAAGTCGAGAGGCGCGAGCGACGAGTCAGTGTCGGAGTTCGAGAAGGGTGCGCAGGGCAAGGCCAAGGAGATTGTGGCCAATTTCAAGGACTACGAGTTCCTGATCGGCGAGTCGATGGACCCCGACGGGATGTTAGTTTACTTCTCGAACATGTTGTGTTTGATTCGGATGCTGACTTTGTGCATAGGGTCGTTCTGCTCAACTACCGCGAGGATGGTGTGACGCCGTATGTCATGGTCTGGAAGCATGGTTTGAAGGAGGAGAAGGTTTAGGTGCATCTTGCAGACCTTTACCGACCTGCTAATATCGATTTCGGAAGCGCTCTGATCCCAGAAGGGTGAGGCTGCCGTCGACACTTGGTTCCACACCCACATATATCCTGATGCGCCATGACTACTGATAGTATCTGTCTTTCCAAAGCACTCCATGTCTGGTTGCCAAGCAGTGCCCCAGCCCGTACGTGCATTCAGAGAGTCCCGCAGTGATCATGCGCTACGACAAGACCGCACTCGTCTCCGAGAGGAAGTGCAGCTTACTAACGAATGGGACCAGATCGGTAATGGTTGATCCGATATTGGAGCCATGCCTAACCATCGACCAGTAAGTTTAGCGCGTTGCCCTTGGTGCGGGTCGCGGACTCATACAACGACTGTAAGCAGGATGGCTGCATTGCAACGTGCTCGAGATCGATGGAGAGTAACGTCCGCTATAAAACCGTCGTTGTCGGTCGTGCGGAGCAAGCTATGAGGATGAGGTGAAGTTGGCGCGCTTCAGCGTCTCCAGCCCCTCACCTGTTCCGGAGTCGAGAGCTTTGCACCTCACCTTGCTGTCGGACAGGTGATCGGATGGTTGGACCAAGAAAACTACTATAACATCCCCCTTGGCCCTTCATCACAGGTAGGAACGCTACCACTCAAGTACCTCCATCTTTCTCACCATGTCTTTCGACACCATCCCCTCCAAAGCATCCTTCAAGCCTAAGCCCTTCAATGCCCACGTCTCCGATGAGGACTTGAGGTCCTTCCAAACCCATCTGAAATACTCCCGGATAGGGCCCAAGACTTACGAGAACCTGACTACAGACGTGAAGGACTTCAACCATTGGGGCATCAGCCGGCAGTGGGTGGCGGACGCGAAGCAGCACTGGGAGACGAAGTACGACTGGCGCAAGACGGAAGACAGGATCAACAGCTACCCGAACTTCACGGTACCCATCCAAGACAGCGGGTTCGACTTCCAGATCCATTTCGTCGCGTTGTTCTCGAAGAAACCGGATGCGGTCCCACTGGCCCTACTGCACGGATGGCCGGGCTCGTTTCTGGAGTTTCTAGGAACGCTTGATGTGCTACGGGAGAAGTACAAGCCGGAGGACTTGCCATTCCACGTCATTGTGCCCTCGCTGCCGGGGTACGGGTACTCGAACGGACCTCCTTTGGACAAAGACTTTAATACCGAGGGAATTGCTCGAGTCGTCGACAAGCTGATGGTCGGCTTGGGCTTTGGCGACGGAGGTTATGTCGCTCAAGGTGGAGATGTCGGTAGCTTCGTGGCGAGGGTACTTGGTGTCAATTCGGAGGCTTGTAAGGCGGTGCATTGTAAGTCGTTACAGTGTCTGTGTCCACAAAGTAGCGTGGGTCTGCGGCTGACCTTCGTACTCAAGTGAACCTCGCCATTGGTATACAGCAGCCCGACGATGTTCCAATGGATGCTCTGAGCAAAGAGGAGCAGACTGGCCTTGTGCGGTACAACGACTTCGGCAACCTGGGTAATGCCTATGCACGTGAGCACGGCACGCGGCCTTCGACCGTAGGTCTGGTACTCTCGTCAAGCCCAGTCGCGTTACTGGCCTGGTAAGTCGTCCACTTCGCCCCGCAGATATGACCTAGTGTAGTCTGACAGCATCGCAGGGTGGGTGAGAAGTTCCTCCAATGGTCCGATGAGTCGCCACCCGTGGACGAGATCCTCGACTCCGTCACGCTCTACTGGTTCACGGACAGCTTTCCACGCGCGATCTACCCATATCGCCAGTTCTTCGGGCCCAAGCCCACGTTCTTCCATCCGGATGCGGAGTGGCATATCAAGAAACCCATGGGGTACTCGTGGCATCCGAAAGAATTGGCACCTGTGCCAAAAGATTGGGTGGCGAAGACGGGAAATTTGGTGTGGTATCGGGGCCAAACGGAGGGCGGGCACTTCGCTGCAATGGAGAAGCCGAAATTGTTCGTCAAGGATGTGGAAGACTTCGTCAAGGAGGTATGGCCTACTGTGAAGTGAGTGTCGTTGAAGGGGAGTCTGTATACCGCAGTGTGAGCCTTCGACGGATCTGTTTCATATTAAACCTGGACTGCTCTGCATCGTGTGCAATCAATGGCTGCGAACCGGTACAAACCGATGCCCAGCGATTAGTCCCAAGGCGGGACTCTCTCACTCCTCGTATGTCTTGAGTACATGTAGTGGAGCCTCTCTAGCAAGTAAACGAACTCCTTCGTTGAATGTCTGGATAAGGGATCCGTTCAACGATGATCTCAGGCGCTGACCAAAAAGGTGGGCCAACGCAGCCAGTTCCCCAGGAGATGCCAACTGGTAAAAGCAAAACATGATCAGCGCATGAACGCTATTTGTCTCAATGCATTGGCCGGGAATCGAACCCGGGGCTGGCGCAGCTTTCAATGAGTAGGAAGCGCCGTGCGCACATTACTCAGATGGCAAGCGCCAATTTTACCACTAAACCACCAGTGCTTGATGTAAAGCGGGGATTGGGTATAAAATATATATAGTACATACTGTATTTGACCGAGCAGCTGAAGGCGCAAACTCGCGAAGACGGTGGGACGGCAGATCATATAGCTACCTTAAGTACGAGGCGAGCTGGGCTTAACAAGGTGATCATTACATTTGTAGGCGACGGCAAGAGTTTCAAGCGCAAATTATAGCCAGAACACAGTGTACCTTACCTTTACATGTACATACCTAAGGCACGCGAAGGATAGAAAGTTGAAAAAGGGGACGCCACGCGACGTGCACAGTCCAATCTACAAAGGAGGACCTATGTCTCGAATAATTGCCAGAACGCCATAGCGCCGTGTGCGCCTTTCGTAGCTATACATGCCATCCGTCGCATCTGCCAGTCTGGCGACCTCATCTGAAGCCCTAACTCACCCACTCCTCTGATACACGCCCACAACCATCGCATGGTCCCTCTCGAACGGTTCGAGCGTCAACTGCTCCTTCGGCTTGATCCGCTCCTCCCTCAGTTTCCCGACCTCTCGCGCAAACACTTGCTCAGGCGGGGCGGTTGAGTCGATGCAGTTTGCCTTGATCGAGACCACCACACCACCGCCGACTTTCAGAAATTGATGTGCGTTGAGCCCGACAATACGTGCTTGGTCGGGTTGCGCTACATCAGCAAAGATGCAATCAACCATGCTGACCAGCATGCGATACTTGAGCGGGTGACGCGCATCCTCGATGATAGGAATGACGTTTGTGCGATGTGTGGCCATGTTGATCAAGTCTCTGCCGCTGCGGTGGGAGAACTCAACGGCGAAGACTGTGCCGGTCGGGCCAACGATGTCTGCAACGTGGGAAACGCTGGTACCGGATGCGGCACCGAGGTAGAGCACTTTGCTGCCGGGCTTCATGTGGATGTCTTCGAGACCACCAAGGATGCCAGCCGCAAGCTTGGAGCGGAAAGGGTTCCATACGCGGTATTCGGTTTTGGTTGCGAGGGGAGCGGAGTCGCCATTGGTGGCTGCGTCGCCGGACACGGGTGCGGGTGTGTCGATGCTGATGCGCTTCTCGCCGTAGACCGCTTCGCCGGGCGTTAGGTTCTTCGTTACGAGGAGATCCTCTTTACCGCGCGCGACGAAAACACCGGGATGTCTGTGAGGTTCCTGAACAACATGTTATCAGTGCAAATGTTCGATGGCATCGTGGTCGTTCATTGCGGCATACAATCACAACTCTCTGTCCACCCTTTGCGCCAAACCCTCCACGACCGCCGCGCGCTCCTCCTCGTCCACCTCGATCGCCTCTACCACCGCGAGGTGCTCCGCGACCGCCTCGTGCGCCACCTCGTCCACCCCTGTCACCGCCGAAGCCGCCTTCACAACGTTAGCGACCATCTGCTCCACGAGCACTTTCGCACATAATCCTACCTCTTGATCCTCCACGGCTGCCACCACGCCCGCCTCTGTCGCCGCCAAACCCGCCTCGCGAGCCGCCCCTGAATCCTCCTCCTCCTCTGTCACCGCCTCGTCCTCGGGGAGTGAATGCCATGATCGTGAGCTTGCGCGTGCGGATGTGTATTTCGTTGCAATAGTTCCGTGAAGCTGGGAAATTTTGAGCTTTTGCCCGAAGCTCAAAGTTGCTGGGGTCCGCGGCTACTCCCGCCAGCCCACATTGCCAAGACTCACTACGAAAAGAACGTCGGCGATTGAGAGCGACATCGACAACACCATCATCCACGACAAACACCGGCAAGATGGTACGTACAGTGTCGATTGAATGCGGTAGTCATGCGAACCGTTCAACAGCCACTAACCCCCCTCCCCTCTTCGCCAGGTCCGCTACGCAGCCACGCACATCGAGCCCGCGAAATCCGCGCGCGCGCGAGGCTCCTACCTCCGCGTGTCATACAAGAACACCCGCGAGACAGCGCAGGCGATTAACGGATGGAAGCTCACCCGCGCTCTGGTCTACTTGGAGAACGTTAAGAACCATGCTGAGGCGGTACCCATGAGGAGATATGCTGGGGGTACTGGTCGTGCCTCTCAAGGTACGCCGAAGCACGCCGCAGCCGTAGAGACCAGCTGCAAAAAGCTGGGCCGCACTCAAGGATGCGAGGAGTGAAAGCACAGATGTTGATTCGTGGGTCATGAATAGGCAAACAATTCGGCGTCAGCAGGGCTCGCTGGCCCGTCAAGTCGGCCGAGTTCCTGCTCAGCCTGCTGAAGAACGCGGAGGCGAACGCGGATACCAAGGGTCTGGACACCAGCAACTTAATCGTCAAGCACATTCAGGTCAACCAGGCGCCGAAGCAGCGGAGACGCACGTACCGCGCTCACGGCCGCATCAACCCGTACAGTGCGTACTAATTTCTCTGGCGTTGAGATGAGAGCGGCTTGCTGACCGTTCACCACAGTGTCGAACCCCTCACACATCGAGCTGATCTTGACCGAGGGTCAGGAGGTCGTGCAGAAGTCAGAGGAGGTCGCGAACCGCGAGTCCATGAAGCATCTCACCAGCCGTCAGCGCGGGCAGAGGAGCCGCAAGGCTATCACGCAGGGTTGAAATTACAAGGACCGAGGCATGAAAGGGAGATGAGGCGAGCACTGAGGCGGATCCGGCGTTCGACAATGGAAGCATAAGCAGCCCGCGTGACGGAGAGTGCAGATGTATCATCGCACGCATCGGCGCTTGCGCGCCACGTTCAGAGATTCTATGTAGCTGCTAGCATGGCGCAGCCTCCGTTTCTATGCAACACTCCGAAGCCACCCACCACGACCACCGATGCTATAATTTGCCCTTCCCACCAACGCCCTCGTTTGATCCAGACGCAGTCGCAGCCGGTCTATTGGCCGCCTCCTCCGAACCAGCCGTGTTTACCTTGTCATTGAATGCGTTCAGGTCTTGTAGGAAGCTCTCATCGCCCGAGAAGCGCCTGTATAGTTAAAGCGAGGATGTAAGCGAATGCTGCCGTAACGATATTTTCGCGTAACATCATCGTTCTTCGCACGTGTCCGTATGGTAGTGTTGTCGTCTCAGATTCCGACCTGAGCAGCTTCCTGTGCCATCTCCAGATTGAGACACTCGATACGCTGGTGCTCCATGTGGAAGTTCCTTAAGACGGGCAAGACTCGTAAGTGGCTCCCAGCAAGCAGCAAGGTCCAGGGCAAAAGAGAGGGAGGAAAGGGAGGACGCAAGGACGAAGGAAATGAGAGCTTACCAGCCACGCTCTTCCCCATTTTCAAGAAACGAGCAGTCCCCATTCACTTTACACTCCCACCCTCCCCCTACGCCCTTCCCATCCCGCCATCCCACGTCTGGCACGTCTTCCGGACGCTCAGGATCCCACTCCACCGCTTTCTGGCTCCCAGCTTCCTCCCCAGACCTCCGTCTCCGCACGAACTTGCTGAAACTGCAAGTAAAACACTTGAAATCCTCCTCCCCTTCATCCGCCGGCATAACACCCGTCAACGCCCGCCCAATACAGATCATACTCGCCGCATGCGTGCAAATTAGCAGACTCTTCGGACCTGAGGGATCGGCGTCCGCGCGAGCGATGAGGTGGTAGAGGCAGTAGGCTAGTCGGTCATGCAGTTGCGGAATCGTCTCGCCTTTGGTTGAAGGCACGATGATGGGGTCTAGATCCTTGGATGACGATGCGGAGGCGGGATTCAGCTGCGTGAAGTGCGTGCGGAGGACGGAGAGGGGAGCGGGTGAGGGGTGGTCGAAGCGGGCTTTGCCGTAGAATTCGCCGATGCCGCGCTCGACGAGGATTTTGACGTTTTCTTCGCCTTTCGCGTCGGAGAGGGCGGTGGTGTACGGTAAGAGGGTTTGCAGGCAGCGGTAGAAGGGTGAGCTGTAGATGAGGTCTATGGGTGGGTCGACGTGGAGGAGGTGGGTGGCGAGTTGCTCGGCTTGGCGGACGCCGTAGCTGGCGAGGGCGGGGTCCGAGGGGATGCCGGTTGGTGAGCGGATGTTGGAGCTGTAGGTGCCAGTCTCGGGATCGACGACCCAGTTGGAGCGGTACTGGGACAGAAGTCAGAAAAGTCTAGGCGACAGGCGCTGAGAGTCTAGCGATTGAACTCGCAGTGAAGTCCAGGTAGTGATGGAACCATGGGAGGTTTCAGGCGGTAGCGATGCTTTTGTGCTGTCCGTCGTCGCTGGTTCATGCGTTTGATGTGGGCTTCGGAAAAGCCGTGGCCGTTGATGTCGTTGGGCGACGCTGTTGAATTCCACCGAGTCGAGATCATTTTGGTTCGTCAGGTCATCTCCTTGTTGGAATCTCTTTGGGACACAGTCTCGCCGGTCAGGATCCTGTCGTAGTCGCCAGCATCGTCGTGCAGTCGACCTAGCTTTCGTGCCTTCGTTTCTCGCCGCGGTCTTTCAACATTGCTGTTCACCTTCCAGGCCGGAGAGAACACGAAGACTGGAGCAGCGAAGTACGGAGATAGATCTGTTGTTACTTACACCGTGCCGCACTACGTAGATGACCTCCAACATCGTGTCTGTCTTGCCTGTGTACCTTAGGTTTGTGGTTGTGAGAACGAACGAAATTGGTGAATTTGAAGCCGAGGCAATAAAAACTTTGACGATATGTAGCGAACGTTTGCCCCCCCAAAACATGGATTCATGAGACACGCATTGCGAACACGGTGGCAAAATGCGAGGACGGCGTAGCTATGGTATCTCATTGCCCACCTCGCTATGTAGACGGCAGGCTCAAGCGATCATGGTACGCTAGCAGCCGAGCGAGCAGAAGGAGAAGTCCTCGCTCCTACGCCACGCTCGGTCATGCAACAAACATCATGCGTTGCCTTCAAACTTTTCATCTCATGCCATCATCATAATATCCACCCACTCACCAGCTGGTCCCGTAAGAGGTCGTGGATGTGTATCTCAGCAGGCACACCGGCCTACTTGAACACCTTGCCATCCGCCCACTCATACTTCTTGCCCTCGACTTCAATTGGCTTGTCCCACGACCACATGTCGTCCACGAACTCCTTGTCCGC